CATCTCATATCTCTTCTCTGGTGCCCACTAGTTGGTGGTTTTCTTTGATTCCCTTCAGTTTCTGGATTGCAACCTGCGAGGCTGTCCAGGTGTTGGAGAGCCAAGGCTGCTGGGACCTCAAACATTGGATTTGCTGCTGCTTTGACTTTGACTTGTCTCCTGGGTCACCTATTTTGTGTCCTCTGAACTAGGCTGTTGCTGCCAGTGGGGAGCTGCCCCTCTGGCTCTTAGGTCCACCTGGCACTAGGACTGGAAGTGACTGGTGCCAGGAAGCAGGGCTGGGAGGATGGCAGGTTTTTGGCTCAGAGCCCTAAGGACAGAGCATCCTTGCCCTGGGCAGCCATGTGGGAAGGTGTATGGTGGGCAGAGGGGCAGCAGGGTTTTCTTGCATTGAGGTCTTTGGTGAGGGGCTGGGGTGCCCTACTAGCCAGGGTGTTGGTGGAGATTTTCACCCCCTCAGTTAGGTTAAAGGTAAGATCCCCAGTAGCTGTAGTGCACAAGGTGGAGGAAGGAGGGGGCTGACTAGGCAGAGGAGGAGGTCTTCCCTTTTTCTGTCCATATCTGCAGAGGAGAGGGGCAAGGGCAGGTGCAAGCTCAGTCTCCAGCCATGGAGAGGAGGCGGTCTGGCCTGGCCACAAGGCACAGCTGGTGAGTGTAGGGCAGGGGGCATTTGATTTTTCACTGATGAGGGAGCAAGCTCCAGGTACCAGCACTGCAGTCATCCTCATCTGGGCTGGGTTGCAGTTTCCAAGCTAACAATCAGGCCTTCCCCACTGCAGGCCTCATCCCAGTAACAACTGCCCCTCCCAGCCTGTGGACTCCTTCTGCCCTGCATCCTGCCCTAGAAAAACAAAGGTATTCCCTGTTCCTGGCCAGCAGGGAATTTGCTGTGCAGGCCTTGCCATCCCAGGCCTCACTCTGCAGGGCCAGTGCATTCTCTCCCATGCCCCAATCCCTTTGACTATTGCTTGGTGCTGATACACTCATTTACGTATCACATTGTTCTTTGGTACCTTGCACTCTGTGTCTCCATGTATCAGCTGGTGTGTTCAGTACTATTGCAGGGCAGCCATCTCTGGATGGGAGCAAGAGCCGAGGGGCACAGGACCCACCGTGCTTGGTAGCCCAGTAGGGGTGTGCGACTGTGCCTGAGAATGACCAGGTTAGCGCTTCCCTCCCCCATGCACCTACATATAGCATTGCCTGGTGTCACCAGCTGTGATGCTTCCTCTGGACTGGCCCTGCCCTGCTGCTCTCCAGTGCAGGTGCACCTAACTCTCAGGAGCAGGTTGTGGAGGTGCCTGCCCCACCTGCTGGGATCCAGGAGCTGCACTTGTGCCCCAGTTGCCTACGCCATGCAACTCGCCCACTGCTGCCCCACACGCTTCGGACATTTTTGCACAGTACAAGCTGGCTTAAAACCAGCTCGCCTCATGGTTAGGGCAGTTCCTGGAGTAGCGTGATTGTGTAATTAGGGCTAATTGCCCCTGCTGAAAAGGGGCTAATGGGGCTAATGGTGCTACCCTGCTTCTGGTATCCATGCCAGCATTGTGCCCAGCTGCTATAGCCAGAGGCCCGGCCCATGGGCAGGATCCTAGTGGCTGGAACACACGGTGGTTATTTGGGACTTGTGGCTTCTGTCACTGCATGAACAGCTCACCTTCCTTGAGCCTCAGTTTCCCCACCTGGGAGTGCAGGGAGATCCCTGATGATTTGGTGCAGTTTAGCAAAGGGATGCAGAGGGGATGGAGAGCTGGTTTATTCTGCTGTGTCCCTGGTGCTTAGGCCAGCGGCACCTGCACCCCACCTTCACCCACGGTGGGGTCTGTCTGCTCTCACCTCAGGGCTGCAAGGACAGTGCAACACTCGTGTCTCTTCTGAGCCAGCTGCAGAGCTGGTGCTGAAGCAGGGTGTGGATCAGGCAAGAGCTGCTTTATATATGAGGAGGGGTCCGGGGTTGGGGGGGTGGTGACACTGTCGTTTGCCTTGCTGTCTCCATCCTTGCAGCCAGCCCGTGGGACTGGGGAGAGCAAGAAGTGGTGTGGCTCCGGGGCGGGGCCTGAACTCGCCCCAGGCCACGCTGCAGCGTCCGCAGCTCCCTAACCAACTCCAGCAACCCATGAATCATTCATTTAATCTCTCCTGACACGCCTGTCATTTTCTCCGGAGAGGAGCGGAGAATCTCTCGCCGAAGGAGGTCATTAGCTGTCAGGGAAGGTTCCGACTGCCTTCCTGTCTCCGTATCGATTAAGCCTCCGCCTGCGTGCCGGGGCTGCGTGGGGAATATTGATGGGGCTGCCAGGACTTGGCTCAGGTTAGAAGCCATGGAGGTGCTTTGGGCAGGGGGAGGCACGGCGCGGGGGCGTGGGAGGGATGCGCTTGCTGCTGGAGTTGTGTTTCTCTGGCTTCTTTCGTCGGAGCCTGCTTCGAGTGCCTCGGCTCTGCGATCCAGGCAAGGGGGTGAGGCAGGTAGGATCTAGCCCTGTTCGTTCTCAAGGGGGGGAAGGAAGAGAGCTCCAGCTTCTGCCAAGCCCAGGCAGCACAATTGTTACACTTAGCTTGCCAGGGGGATTCGCGTCTTCCCCAGCCACAGCCTGGGCCTGCTGCATTGCCATGTCTGAAAGGTAATTAATCTCAGCAGTTTTCCTCTGGGTCATTTCTGGAATGGCCCTGTCTCGGGCCTGTGGGGGCAGTCTGGCCAACATTTCCTGATGGGTTTGTTTCATGAGCTGGTGGGAACATTTAAGCCACAGGAAACGGCGTCCACATGTGCGGTGTCTCTGGGCATTGCAGCTCTTGGCTTGGCTTGGTGTCTGGGGGATGCTGGGACTCAGGAGTGAGACTGAGGTGTTGTTACAGCTGGGAGGGTCTGGGGGGCAACAGCAGGTCTGGAGTGAATGGCTCCGGTAGGGGTGGGAGAGCCCCGAGACTGGAAAGCAGTAGGTGCCAGGAAGGAGGGTAGGGGACACTGGCAGAGGTGTGGGATGGTCTGGGCTAGAATAGTAGCCAGGACTGGCACAGGTGTGCGGGGGGATCAGAGCTGGAAAGGAGCAGCTACCTGTGGTCTAGGTTGGGGTGCTCTGGCAGAGCCTGTAACCGTGTTGGACTGCTCTGTTTGCCTCCCTTTGCGCCCAACTGGGAAGTTCTCTGAGCAGCGTTCTTGTGTGGCCTTGGCTTCGTGCCTCGCCTCATCCATCACGGGAGGTGTCTGGCCCAGCCCTCCTCTCGCTGACTAACGGCTTCTGCTCTCCCGTGTCTCTCCTTGCAGTATTTCTATGAAGGGAATGACATCAGCGACCTGCCCGTGAACTTGTCCGTGGTATGGAACGGAAACTTCGTCATTGACAACCCCCAGAACATCCAGGGTAAGTGGGACCACAACGTGGCCAACAGCCCCACAGTGAAATGACTCTGTGGTCCACACCCCAAGCCTCAGAGCCACCTGGGTCCTTGCATTTCCATGCAAGAGATGATTTCCAAACCCATCCTCTGAAGGCCAGTCCACCTCCCCTTGCACCCGTCCACCCACCTGAGCAGTTGTGATTCCAGATTGAGATCAGCTCCCAACCATTTGGTCTGTCATGTGAAATGGGTCAGTGGGCCTCAGTCCAGTTCCTTGTGGACCAGCGTCCTCATAAGAAGCACCAGTGCTGTCCCCTTCTTGGTGGTCTCTCAAGCCCCAGGCACCCTTCCAGCATACCCCGGATGCTGAATTCTCTTCACCCCCTGAGGTAGGGCATCTTCAGCACAGAGTAGGGGCACTGGTGGGATCAGTCTGTGTGGGATGCTTGCCCTCCCGCTGCCTGTTCTGGGAAGGTCTGTAGGGCAGTGAGGCAGCAGGATTTCCCTTTCATGGCACTGACCCGAAACTGCTCTGCTTCCCTTTGCAGCTCACCTGTACAAGTGCTCAGCCCTGCGAGAGAGCTGTGGCCTTTGTCTCAAGGCAGACCCACGTTTTGAGTGCGGCTGGTGTGTGACAGAGAAGAGATGCTCACTGCGGCAGCATTGCCTAGCCTATGAGAGCAGCTGGATGCATGCCAGCAATGGCAACAGCCGCTGTACAGACCCCAAGATCCTCAAGGTAAGGGAGGCTTGAGGTGAGGAGCAGGCTTCATCAAGAGCGCTGGAGAGGATGCTGCAGGGGAGACTCCTGCCCATGCCATGGCCTTGTCCTTGCAGGTTACAGGTGGCAATCAGTGTACGCAGTACTGTAGAAACAGTCATGGGCCAGGTCCAGAAGAGATTGGATCCTGAATGTGACTAAGAGGGAAAGAGGCAACACAGAGCCGAGGTGAAGCGGGCAGCTGCTCTCAGTTGGGTGGTGTCCAGGAGCACTTGCTGATACCCCTTTGCCGTGGCTTTGTTTGGGATACAGTGCTTTCCCTCTGGGTGGCTGAGCAGGGACCATGTGAGCAGGGATTGGGGTGGAAGTACTCAGCAGACGGGGGGGTTTGAAGGTGAAGGAGGGAGCCTCAGGAGTTAGGAGGCAGGGCAGGGTGTGAGAAGGGTGGCACCAACAGAAAGATGCCTGTTCATACCCTTGAATCGCACGCAAAACCCTGTATGTCAGCGTATCTGCTGCCTGCCTATCTTGTGTCTGCCCCCTGTGTTCAGCTGTGTATGTGACTTCTGCTTAGCCCAACAAGCACATACCTGTGCTCCCTGCCCCTCTCCCTGGGCTGGACAGGATCCCTGCAGCGCTGACTGCTTCCCCCTGATGCTCATTCAGCCCTTGTATCACTCTGCACTTGTTTGTTCTGCCACCATAACCCTCCTGGCCCCATCTTGCTCCAAGCACAACGCAGAGCCACCCTCACCTCCCAGCAGCAGACATACAGTGGGGTCATTAGGGCCACCCCCACCCCCCAGCAGCTGACAGTAAGGAGAGGAGGGGTGCAATTTCATGGCTAGAGCAAGCTATTTTGGAGCTAGGACTTCTACATCTTATTCCCTCCTCTGCCGTTGTGCAGCCTTAGGCAACTTGTATGCATCCTTGGGCAAAGTCTTGGCCTTGCTCTGGGCTTCAGTTTCCCCTCTCAGCAAAATGGTGATCCTGACCAGTTCCTGGACAGCTTAATTATTGCTGGCCCTGTGTTTTGCAATCTGCTGGTAGCAGGCACAGTCTGAGGGCAGGCTCTGACTATCCTGGACTGTTCCTTGTGACCTGTTTATGATGGACATGCACACTCTCTCTCTCTCTCTCCCCTCCCCGCTCCTGGTGTTTCCCCATGTGAAGTCTCTGACCTTTCTCACAGATCACAGTTCCCTTGTGTCCCGGGCTTGCAGACTCCCAGTAAAGCACTGGGCTATTTGTCCCCCAGCTCCCCCTCCCTGTGAGGACTGGTGGTTCATCATTTCTGTTCTCTGACAGCTTTTATGACCTTCATTTAATAAGACTGTGTATATTAATGTTAACATGTCTGTTGGGCCAGGCTCCAAGTGCATTAGGAAGGATTGGTGGGTAATTCTATTTGATATGTTCTATTTACCCACGGATTCCAGACCAGGCAGGCCTTGACGGTGTTAATTACCAGAGTCTTAGCATAGTATCTAATCTATTTGGGTTTCAGTTTCTTATCTGATGAAGGCTGGAAACTAGAGTTGTGCCTCTCCTGCTCCCCAAAGCTCCCGCTGGTTATTGGCACCACTGTGGCTGTTGCTCTGGTCTTGCTGAGAAGAGTAATGCCACCACTGACCTGCTCCCACCCTTCACACCAGCATTTGGGACCCCTGCCCAGCACATAAATACTTTCCACCCTGGAATCAGAATTTTGTTTAAAAGGAATGATAAGAGCTCAGAGCAGCTGAGAGCGTCAAGCCCGTCCTGTCACAGAGACAGAGTGAGCCAAGAATCTGGATTGCTGTTAAAATGCCACAAAGCTTAGGGTGGCATTTGGCTGGAGCTGGCTTGACCTTTCTCTTTGCATCCAAGGCACTGAAACTACAGGTGCTTGGTGGAGGAGCCCAGATGTGCAAGTAGAAGAACAGTGGCACCGTGTGTTAGGGGTAGGGTTAGTGGTCAGGGACCTCCACACTCCAGCCCTTTGGCTTGCTTGTTGCCTGTGACCCCCTGATAAGCCCTTTCAGTCCAGATAGTGCCCTTGTTCTCTGTCCAACACCAATTGGCTATCACTGCTGAGGGAGGTGGCTTAAATAACATGGGACTTGCCATGCTGGATCAGAACAGCTGTCTGTCTTCCCCAGTATCCTATCTCCAACCATGCCCACCACTAAGTGCTTCAGAGGAAAGCGGTAAGAAACCTCCCAGTCCCTACTAGTTAAGGACAGGCTTAACCAGGAAGCTTGATGTTATTTCCAAAATGTATGTCAGCCTGAAAGAAAACTGATGTGAATGTCCCCCAGTGAGGTCTCAGAGGATGTCATGTTAACTTGAAGCAGTTGACTTTATGTTATGTAATCCCCACCCAAAGCCCTCAGTGGCAAGGACCAAAACGCTATGTAGAAATCCCATCCATTCCTGGCCTGGGTGGGTTGTATGCCCTTTCCCACAGCTGTTCTGACCTGGTGATGGAAAAAGGACCGTGTCACAGAGTATCTGTCCACACTGTGAGGGCTGCATACAACAGACTGAATAGATTTTGCATGATTCTGACAAACCAGCAAAACCTTCCTTTGGGATGAGCAGAGGCTCCATCCAGCGTGAGATCCTCAAAACTTACGGCCTGTATTAGTACCAGGAAACGAGGCCATAAAACTGACTACAAGCAGTCAATAGTGACTGAAAAGCAGAGGCCAGGTTTTTGTGGCCTGTGTGAAGGTGTATTTGCTGTGGGAGTCATTGGGAGCTGCAGCTTTGGCCTACGACATGTAACAGGCCTGTTTAAGCTTTATTGCCTCAAGCTGAACAGGAAGGGCAGGAAGGAATGAACACTGCAGAGGATGAGGTCAGTGAAGGGTTTTAAAGTCTGCTCAGTTTTAGCAGTCTCAGGGGTGGGAATGGTGTGGGTAAAGGAGGATTACTGGGCATTTGGTACTGGTACTGGGCTGTGCCCACACCCTCTGTTCCACCCTCCTCAGTGGAAATGAATACACCTTCCAGATCCTGGCTTAGAAAGGTAGTGAAGCAAGAGGTCTCCTGCTGGCTTGGTTTGGCTTTGGCAGCAGATTACTAGTGAAGCCTTCACAGGTTGGATTCCCCCATGTCTGACAGCTCTGCAGCAGGATAGTTGATACCTCTACATCTGTAGCAGATAAGTCTGAAGCTGAGAGCCAGCAGCCATGGGAGTCTGTAATGGGAACACAGCTCTCGCGGGGCTGGGCGTCAGGACGCCTGGGTTCTCCTTTGCAGCATGGTATTTTCAGATTTTCCTCACTTAGGTTGAGATGACTGGGCCCTGGCTTTAAGGAGGTGGTGAGAGCACCTGGCACTCCAGGTTAGGCCAGTGGGTATAGCAGGCATGGAGCATCTTCATTTGGATGCTCCACAGCTGAGGCATCTCATATTAGTAGGCACCTCTGAAAGGGATGGCCTCTACTACCATATAGCTGAAGATAGTGACCTGCTGCCTAGAGGCTTTGGGAGCCTCTCTCCTTGTCTGTACAGGGCAGTGAGTTCCCTGCAGCAAAGGTGGGAAGAGCATCCTGCATGTCAGGGGGATGGAGAAAAGGAGGAGAGGGACCCTGCTTCTGCCTTCCTCCCTGCCTGGCTGGGGATGAGAAGCAGCAGCTGGAGCTAGGCAGTGTTTGCTTCTTTAATTCAGTCCAGATGAGGGGAGGGAGCAGGCTGTGTGTGAGACCTGGATGGGAGGGGGTGGGAAAGCGCAACATGGCTGCCTCTGGAACGCATGCTCCAGAGCTGGTGGGAGCTACCCAGTTGGCAGAGCCTACAGACTCACTCTGGTGCTGCCTGTTTGCGATTGCTTAGAAGTTAGCAAACAGCAATGCTTTGCAGCCCCCTCCGTGTCTGGCAGGCAGAACAGGTAAAGAAACCGAGGCACTATGAAACTATGAAGCACAGAGAATGGCAGAGTTTGCTCAGTCACACGGTGAAGCAGTGGCAGAGCTGGGACTCAGATTAAGTCTCCTGACACCCAGAGCTGCGCTGAGACCATTAGCCACAGCCTCTGTGTTGTGGGGATCCTGGGGTTTGGAGTCGTTCTCTGACACCTCCGAACACTTGTTCACTTCTCCATGGGAGGCACAAAGTGAGCTTCATAGTCAGCCCCTGGTGGGCACTAATTTGCTCCCAGCACAGAGTATCTCCAGCCTGGCTGACTCCAGAGTTGCAGGCCTCAAGCAGCGGCAGATGCAGTGGGTCTGGATGGGGGAGCATTACTAGAGATGTGTGCACTGGGGCAGGGGCTGAGATAGCGGAGAGCCAGGATTGTGGTGTTTGTATGGAGCTGTGTGTGGGTGTCCAAGGCTAGGGGTGTTGCTGGTCAGCATTGAGAGGCAATGGAAAGAGAAGGAGAGCAGAGCTAGGACTTGAAATCCCGGAAGGACTTCAGGTGGGTGAGGTGCCTTGGCAGAGGGTGGGGAAGAAGCCTGCCCTGCCCTGCCCTGCCCTGCCCTAAATTCTTTTCCTGCAGTAGTGGTCTCCTTTCAGGAGCCTCTTTCAGAGAGGCCAGGCAGTGACTCCTCTGTCTGTCTGAAAAGATGAGGAACCAGTGCCATGCTTTTCAAAGGGCCGTGACTGCTGCCAGGCCCAGCTGACCCTGCTCTCTCTGTCAGGCCCCTGGGTGCTGAGAGCAGACTGTTCCCAGCAGATGCAGACCCTGGCAGGCAGGGGATTCACATGCTCTCTGCTTCCCTCTGGCAAGTCCAAACTGGGCTGCTACAGGCCACACTCCACAGCCAGGGCTCACTGACTGGGGCAGGGGGTCACTGAGTGTGGGAAGCCCCACTACCATGGTTTCATTTGTTAATCCCCTTGGCTGTGGCTGAGGTCACTGACAACAATCTAAGGGAAAGCACCTGACTGGGGGAGTGGAGGAAGCTTGAAAAATACCCAAGCCCACATCTGTTCCAGGGCTGGAATTCCCCTTGACAGCGTCAGTGCTGAAGGTTTCAGCATTCCCAGCAAAGACAGGGTTTGCAAAGAGCTCAGTTCAACTGTCACTTGGCACCATAATAAGAAACACTGGTGCATGGGAATCTGCCCCTTTCCTTTTCAGCGGCCACTGCCCTCCAGAGGCGTGGGTGCTGGTGTTACCTTGGGGCCAGGCCGCACTGTGCACAAGGACCCATGGGCTTTCTTCAGAGCCTCAGATGATTGACCGAGGCATTTAGGTTCTGCGCTTCCTGTTGTGTGCGCCGGCCACTGCACATGCCAGTTACAAGCTGCATCTGATTAGCTGCCAGTGCCTGGCCCCGCTATCAGTCTCCCCATCCCCAAGTCATTAAAAGTAAATTAAGAAATTGCTACACTAATTGTAGGTCTGGCACAAATAGATCAATGAGCCCTTGTGAGCTGCCCGTGCAGCCTATGCACTGGTCTTTGTCAGGGCTGGTAGTAGGAGGGCAACTGGGGGTTGAGTGTTGTATCCAGCTGCTGCCCCGACGGTAGGGCCTAACCCAAGCCAGAGCTGAGAGCTCTGCGTTGTGTTCGTGGAGTGGGACTCCAACCGTTCTCTGCCAACCCAGCAAGGCAAGGCCGAGTGAGACTCAGACCACATCTCGATGGGGCTAGGAATACAGTCAGGGGAGTGCTCATGCTGGGGTCAGAGAAAGGACCTGAATCCAGCCCAAGGAGGGTGCAGGGAAGGTCACAGGTATTGGGAGGATTCCTTGGGCTCACCTTTGTGCGGTGCATCATATGGGGTACTGGCACTGTGTGGGAAAGCTGCATAGTAGAGCCTGGCCCATGCCATCATGCAACATCCCTTTGCATTGGAGACTAGGAGGATATGAGAGGGATGGATTAGTCTGCACGTGGCATGTTTCCCAGACACTTCCTCTAACATATCTGCTGCTGCCTGTCAGAGCCCCGATCCTGGGCTAGATGGACCTTTGGTTTGACCAAGGACAATCATTTTTGTGCTCTTAAGATGCCTTTTTGCAATGCCATAACATTATTATGGCAAGTTGCCAGACCATCCTATGGGAAGGCTCTATCACAGCTGCCAAAACAGCCCTGGTCCAGCAAGCTGAGAAGCTGATGCCTCCATGGACAGGGGACATTCTCCAGCCTGCAGTGGTGACCAGTGGCTACCTTGGGTGGAAGGAGCTCCCTGTAGAGCTGGGATGAGCTGTCCCTTCAGGCACAGTTCCTCAGCCCTCTGGCCCTGCTCATGCCCTGTCCTCTGCCCTCAACGGCTCCTGCACCCTCCTGCACCCACTTGGTTTGGTGCATCTGAGGAGTGAGCACGCAGCCTGTGCTCTGTTGACCAGTTTGTTTAAAAGGACCCTGTGAAACCAATTAGCAGAAGAGTAATGTTGTTTGTCAGGGCTGGAGCCGGGGCGAATGGGGATTTGGAGGTGGGGGGTTCAAGAGAGCTTCCGATTTCCCTGCCAGCTTTGTCTCCCACGCGCCTTGTTTAGTGATGACCTCCCTGGCGCTGGGGATTCCCCGGATGGGCAGCCCTTGTCAGCTTTGCCACCGAGGAGGAAAGGATCTAACATGCCGGGGCAGCTTCTAACGCTGATTTAAAAATACCAAGCAAACAGCCGCTCCTCATCGCCCGCCCCAGCGGAGCCCAATTTAGGGAAGAACAAATCCGATCGTCTGCTGCTGCTGCCTTAATGAGCCCTGATCCGGGACTTTGGCAGAGGGCTGGATTGAATTGAGGCAAGCAGCAATACCCCAAAGCCCAAATTGGTTTTGCCGTTGTATAAATTCTGCCTCATGGAGCGTGATTGCCCTGGGCCTCCTGTGAGAGAGCGCATGGCTCTGTCTGCATGTCAGAGTGCGGGACCAGGGAGCCAGGACTCCTGGGTTCTGCTACGAGCCTGCCACTGACGTTGGACAAGCCCCCAGCTCCCTCTGCTTCTGGAGGAGCTGGGCAGTGTCCTGCAGGGTGCTGATCGTGGGACGGGACATTTGTAGAGTGCTTTGAAGAGGAGAAGGAGCAGTGATTTCTTTCCACCATGCTCAGGAATGATGATTAACCCCATAGTAGCCATTTCTGGAGCTAGGCCTTTCTCAGCCTTTTTGGGGGTTGCGGCTGCCTTGTCAATACAGACTTCCCATTGCTCATCTCTGCCCTGAGCTCTCGGCTTGTGGGAAGGGGTAGGTAGCAAGTGGGAAGGTGTAGGCTCAGCTGATACAGGAACTGAGGCACCAAGTTACAATAACCCTTGTTCTCCTTGAACAGCCACAGCTGGGGCCAGCACTGAAGCAGTTCATATGAGTGCTGGGGCTAAGAAGAGGAGGAAGGACCAGTTAGCGCTTTCAGAGGGTAGAAATAAAGGAGATATTGCTACTGGGGATCCTTGTCCCTGGGCAATCCATCTTGGGGGCTGGCAATGTTTCCTGGCACTCCCTGCTCTGGTGTGGAGAGCTCGGCAGGTGTATTGGCCAAAGCTGCTGTGGATCCCAGCAGTGGGCCTGAGGTGTCACAGGGTCGGGATGTAGTGACTTCCCGGGAGGCAGCCGTGGACCTGGGCCAGTCCACTTCACTTCCACCACCGCGGTCTCTTTCCTCACTGATCCACAGCCTGCAGGCTTACCTGAGACCCCCCTCCTCCTGCCTCCCCACCCTCTGGCTCTGTGTTGCCAGTGACCTCCCCCCTTCCCTGATATAGGAGCGCACGCTATCCCATTAATTCTGTTTAGTGCCTGCAGGTGTGTGCCGAGCACCGGGGCCAGCGAAATCTGGTGTAAAATTGCCCATAATTACCTTGTTAGCGGCAGTGGCGGGCTTGTGCCTCTCTGCTCATCCGTCATTGTGCTGGCTTTTGTCAGGCCACACCTGTCTGCTTTATTGGGAATCATCTTGCTAAATGAGGTGCATCCCGGTGTTGGGGGCTCCCCCCCTTCCCCAGCTGGTGCTGGCACAAGCCCTGCTTTCTGTGAAAGACCAGATTGGGATGGGGGGAGGATACCCCCTTCCCAGGGGTTGTCACCGTCTCTTCTGGGGAGGTGATTGCAGGAAGTCTCTGTTTGAAGGGGGCAACAGGCACTCTGAGGGCAACTGCTGGCCGTGCCAGGCTGGCAGGAGTGTGGCGGAGCTGGACCTACCATCTTGGGCGCTGTAGGTGTGATTCCACGGGGCTGGCCCAGCAGTCAGGAGGGTTCCCCTATTTCCACTGCACACAGCTGGCACTGACTCAGCTGGAGCATCAGCTGAGCTTGAACAATAGGCCTGTGCTTATCCCTTGTGGGTGCGCTTGGAGATCACATGGGCCAGGAGGCTGGCTCAATGCCTCGAAAAATCATAGGTTTTTGCAGGACCCAGAACTCTGCCACCCAAGCCTTGTAACCCATGCCCTGGGTGATTCACAGTGTGGGACTCAGACCGGGCCAGGAGAGCCCCTTCTGCTCTGTGCAGACCCTAGAACCCTGCTGGCACTTATAACCAAGAGGGTTTGCCCAGTGCCCACAGTGTCCTCTCCTGTGTGCTTGCCTGTGGACTTCTGCCAGAGAGGGCTGCAGTCGGGCACTTTGGGCTCCCCCAGAATGGATCAGTACCCAGGTGAACTCTTGGCATGATTTGATCTATACTGACTGATAGCAGAGGCAGGGCACTCTGTTCTCAGCTGCCTTGCAGTGTTAGTAGCTGGAGTGGCACCATATGTGGCTCTGCATCTCTGCTCTGTGGCAATATTGAGCACTCTGGCCTGGGCTGGTTTCACCTCACTGCTGGCAGCAGATCAGAGCACTTCGCTGCAGTTACACGTTTGCTTTGCTGTCTTTTAGCTATCACCTGAAACAGGCCCACGGCAAGGAGGGACTCGCCTCACCATCACTGGGGAGAACCTGGGCCTGAAGTTCGAGGATGTGCGCTGGGGAGTGCGGGTCGGCAAGGTGGTGTGCAACCCCATTGAGAGCGAGTACATCAGCGCAGAGCAGTAAGTGCCCACCTGGGTGTGGCAGGCTGGGTGGTCAGGCCTGTCAGGTGGCTCCCTCAACCCCACTCCCAGCTTGAGAAGCCCACATGTTTTGGGTGAGAGTGCTGCCCCTTGCTGTCGTCCCTAGTAGATGCTGAATGCATGAAGTAGTCAGGAGTTGTGAGCTTATCTGAGCTGTAGAGACCCTCGGTGGAGTTGAGAAGGGCAGAGCCTATGCCAGGGAAGTACAGAGAGGCTGTTCTGATGCTGTCCCACTTCAGGCCTTTGTGACACTGCAACTGCAGACCCATCTGGCCTCCCCACTTGCACTCCTGCTCTGACCAGTGATCCAGCGTACCTGTTTGGAGTTCTGCTGAGCACTTTGGCTCTCCTTGCTTCCAAATGGGATTGTGCAATGAATGCTCCCTGTTAGAAGGGGAGTTTTGCATTAGAACGCCTGTATAACTGGTTCACCGGTATTGCAAAACCTGAGAAAAGGGGCCCGAGTAAGCCCTGGAGTATTTACATCCCAGCTCATTCTTCAGTGTTGGACCCCCAGAACCTGGGGGATTAGCCAGATCTGCCAGCAGGGGCAGCTCTGCTTGCTCTGGACAGTGTGAAGAAGCAGCCCATGGTCATGTTTAAAGATCTCTGCAGGATTAGCAGTAACTAAGGGTAACAGTCCTGCATACTGGTACTTGAACCTTGTTTAAGGATAGATGGGCTCCTCCCTGAGAACAGAACCATCCCATGTCGGCCCACATTCCCCAGACCTTGTTGTCCTTCCATGCTAAGTGATAGCAACCCATCAGGGTGTAGGGTCTGGGAGGAAAGAGGAGCAAGCAGTCATAGTCCAGTACTCAGGCAGAACAGCGGTGGTGGTTGCCTCTCCATGCAGCCTGGACCTGGAGGATCTGGTGGTCTCCCCTCCTCCCCTTCCTTGTGCCCTCTGCTCCAGGGGGCTCTGCCATGTTATTCCCATAGTAAGTGAACCAGAACTCCTTCCCTGCTTCCCCTAGGATTGTCTGTGAAATCGGAGACGCCAGCCCAAGCAAAATCCATGAGGCCCGTGTGGAGGTGTGCATCAGGGACTGCTCCCCCAACTACCGAGCCATGTCCCCCAAGAGCTTCACCTTCGTGGTAAGGTTCTTTTACAGCATCTACTGCTCTCATGCCCTCCTACTCCAGCCTGTCCTCCTGCTCCTCCCCACAGCTCAAGAGCCCCTCTTGGGAGCTGGGGGTTTGATCCTGTTTCCAGTGTGAAGGCCTGCAGTGAGTTCAACCTCACCTGCAGCTGTCAGCTCTTGCAAGCTAAGGAGGGTAGTGGGGCTTGTGCTATTGTTGGAGGGGAGACCTGGGAATCACCAGCCCCTAAAGGAAGCAAGTCTGGGGACTCAGAGGAGAGGGGGTGCATATTACTCGATAGGATGTAAAACTAAGTTCCTTGCCACATGCTCCAAATCTCAGCTACCTTTTGTCCTGGCCAGATTTCATTTAATCTAAATGGGCGTGCCACACTGAAACCTTCACTGTTTGAATGGGCTTTGAGATTCGAGACTTCCAGCCCCAAATAGCAGTGACTTGTTGCTGTCGAGGAGCATCTCCCTTCCTCCAACCTTGATCCAAGATCTGCTCCCACTTAGCCCTCATCCTCCCACGCTGCTTCCCCCATGCCATCCACTGCTCACTGGGTTTGCCCTTTTCCTCTGACAGACTCCCACCTTCTCACGAGTGATCCCCGCCCGGGGTCCTCTCTCAGGAGGCACCTGGATTGTCATCGAGGGCAACCACCTCAATGCTGGCAGCAACGTCACAGTGACAATCGGGGGACGGCCTTGTGCCTTTTCATGGTAAGGCTTCCAGTGGGACAGCATCAGGAGAGGATGGGGGCCTGCTGGGGTGAGGTGGGATGAACATGCGGGAGCACTGTGGTGGATGGAGAAGATGGGACCTACAAAGATGGTGGTGGTGGGAGTTGCTTCTGGGAAGCCAGGCCAAGGGTCTGGAGCGAGGTACCCGTGGAATTCATCCCTTCAAACCTCTTTGTTTCTGAGGCTCCTGAAAGAGACTGAAGAACTTGGATTTTCTCTCAAAAGCACAAAGCCCTGAGGCATGAAGTGGATAATTTTTAGATTAGGGATGATAATGGAGCGGCTCTTTAAATATTTTCCTGCGGTAATTACTGGTTATCAGCCCTAATCGCTGCTGTTTGCAGCAGCCACACGATGGGGAACGCTCAGGAGCTGCACGCGCTTCTCTTGCTGCTTTTGTTTTATTTTCCTCTCTGCACTAACTGACGATTTCAAGAGCGCTTCCAGGGAGGGAGAGGGGAAGAGGCAGAGGGGGCAGTGTAGCTCCCCACACTCTCGTCAGATGCCAACAGCTGGATTTCCTCAGGGCCTGGGCCACAAGGAGTGCTGGCAACAGCAGGCTCCTGAGTGCTGCCAGAGGCTGCAGCTGGGCCTGTGTACATGTTGCATCTTGTCCGTGATTCACTCCTCAGCCCAGCAGATCCTGACTTGAGAGGATGTGGGGCTGTCTGTTGAAGGAACAGGCAGCATGAATTGTCTCCAGCAGTGATGCAGCACCTGCATGCCTGTTTTGGCTTCTCCAGCCCTTAATCCTCCTCCATGGTAGGGGGAGGTAGATGGGGGTCTATCAGGGCAGGCAGTGTTGAAACCGAGTTGGGGGCTTAGTACCTGACGACTTCCTTTCCTGTGTCCACAGGAGGAGTGCCCGTGAGATTCGGTGTCGGACGCCCCCTGGCCAGAGCCCCGGCGGGTCACCCATCCTCATCAACATCAACCGAGCAGAGCTCAGCAATCCGGAGGTGAAGTACAATTACACTGAGGATCCCACCATCCAGAAGATCGACCCTGAGTGGAGCATCAACAGGTAGATGTACAGGGGTAGCCGGTGTGAGTGTTCACTGAGAAACTGAGAAAGTGGGGCCCTAGCACAGCCCTCTGCTCAGGAACCGTGCCTGGCTGTACCCACCAGGCTGCTCAGTGTTAGAGTGCTGGGGATGGGACAGGCTCTGGAGATGCAGTGACAGCGCTGGGTGAAGCCAAGAGCACTTGTGTCCCTGGCATGGCTCCTCACCTCAGTGAACTTCTGGCCTGCAGCACTCAGCCTGGCAGGGGTCAGGCATAGAGAGGGTTTGAAATAAGTTTTAATTTCAGCTTGACATTTGGCTGCAGCGAATAAAATTAAAATATTTCCCACCAGGGGAGGTTTAAAATGTTTACATGGTTTGTTAAAAGGTTTGAATTGGCTGGAGGGGACGCCGAGGAATCTGCTAAACGTCAGCACCACTGAGCCTTGCTGGGAACCAGGCATTGGAAAGGGTCCCCAGTGACCTGGGCAGGTTTCTCGCTGCTCTGGGGCTTTTCAAATGAGTCCTGGTGAATGCCATGCCCTCGCCCTGGGTCAGATAGCTGGCTGGTGTATAATGCTAATGGGGCTTTTGTGTCTCTGGCTCCTAGGCTCCTTTTAGTGCAATTGGATGGGCTGGAGAATCAATAATTCCCCCTGAGGTGGCCATGTCGAATTCAGAGCAGCTGCCATCTGCTGCTTGTACTGAGGTGGGGTCAGGGGCCTGGCTGCTTGGTAGGCATGGGTGCATACCCCAGAACTTCCTGCTATCTAGCATCACAGTTGGTGGCCGCATTAAAGAGGCCTAGGTGTGAGTGAGTCTCTAGAGACTGAATGCCTCTTTCCTCTCAGAGGGAGGCAGGGATGGAGGCAGGTCCTGACTGTCAGTACTTGTGGCTTTGTAAGGGTCTTTGCTATCTGGAGCTGCACCTTCCATGTCTGCAGGGGACATACGGAGCTGAGAACTTGGCTGGAGCTGATGGTCAGGGCCTCCTGCATGCCCATCACTGCCTATTGCTGGGAGATGGCTCTGGGTGAGGTGGCCCTCCTGGAATGGCGGCCAGGGCAAGGTTGTTTCAAAGGGAAGTGCTTGAACTGGGGTCTGTTGCCTCCTCATCTGCCACTCGTGCTAAGGGTGGAAGATAGCCATTTTGAGATGCGTTGACTGATGCCGTGGTGCCATATGAGGCTGTGGGGGGTGGATGCTGCTGTTTCACATGTTATGCCCAAGTGCCAGAGCCTGGCTGCTGCTGCTTGATGGTTAGGATGTTTCCAGCCTGAAGTGGGAAGGGACCAACTTGTATAATAGACAGAGCATGCAGGCTGGGAGCAGGGCAGCGAGACTCATGCTTATGTTCCCCCTCCCTTGGGTCCCCTGTGTCTCTCCTAACCCCCTCCTCTGTCCCTCCTAGTGGTGGGACGCTGCTGACCGTGATTGGCACCAACCTGGCCACCATCAAAGAGCCCAAGATCCGTGCCAAGTACGGCAGCTCTGAGAGGGAGAACGTAAGTAGATTCCCAGGTCTGACAGGGGCCATGTGCTTGGCTTGCAACAGGCAGGGAAGGTCTGCAGTGGTACCCCACAACCCTTCAGGAAATGGTGTTGGTCATTGGAAGAAGGACATTGAGCCATTTAGATCTTATCCCAGGGCAGGTTGAAGCAACAGCTTTCGGAAGTGCTCACTGTGGGAGGAGGTTACAGGGTGGGATGAGAGTGAGGGGTGAGGGAATGGAAAGAGGAGTGTGGTTTTGTGAAGATGTCGTGGAAGCAGAAATGGTACCTGCCAAGGTGACCCCAGAGCCCTGGTCCCTGGAAGGTTCCCTCCTGTCTGTCTCCTTACATGCATTTCTGGAGGCCATGCCCTGCACAAGCAGGAGTCTCCTCACCTCTCCCTCAAGTGGGGCTGTTTTGAGGATGGGCATGACAGCTGTTGGGCAGAGCACAGCAAGGCCATGTTGCAGGCTAGGGAAGGGCTTGGAGAAGAGATCCATGCCTAATTGAAACATGAGAGGACACAGTTGAGGGGCAGGGGAGAGGAGGTCTTCCAGCAACCCAGCCCCTGTAGGGGGTTCAGGATTGAGCAGGGGAAAGAGGGACTCCCATGGACTCAGCAGCCCTATGTCTGGCAAAAGCTGCTGGCCTCCCATCCAGGCCCTGACCCCACTGGACTCAGCCTATGAGAGCAGACATGAGCCTAGCCCAGGGTGATGACAGATTGCTCTGCTTAGCTCTGGTGACTTCTCTCTGCAGAACTGCACTGTCTACAATGACACCACCATGCTGTGCTATGCCCCCTCCATTGACAACCCTGTGCGGAGTCCCCCGGAGATCGGTGACCGCCCAGATGAGATCGGGTTTGTCATGGATAACGTCCAGGCACTGCTGATTGTCAACACCACCAATTTCGTCTACTACCCAGACCCTGTCTTCGAACCCCTTAGCCCCTCCGGCATGTTGGAGCTGAAGCCCAGTTCTCCCCTCATCCTCAAGGTACATCCCAGCCCTTTTCCTGGCATGGCCAGCTTTCTGGCTTTCAAGCTCAGGCTTCCTTTTCCACTCATGGCCAGTTGCACTTCCCATGCAGAATGACAGAACTGTCCAGCAGGCCTCGTATTGGTTCCGAGTCAGAGCTGGTGGCCAGAAAGCTTAGCTCCTCGGGGGTTAAATGGACTGTGCTGGCCAGGTACAGCTGTATGGGTCGCAGGTGTCAACCCTGCCCTGCTGGAGCCATCTCACTGAATCCCACTGAGTCCATGCAGACACCCTGCGTTTGGGACAAGTGAATATTATGGCTGTAGAGAAAGACAAGGGGAAGAGCTGTGGATGTGCAGAGCAGGCAGTGTGGGCACAAAGCCCACCTCCCTTCCCACCCCCTTTCCTGCTTAGCACAAGGTGGTCACAACCCCTTGGTGCCTATGAGAGCTGTGGGATTTCCTTTTGGGTTTGCGGGCATGTGAGTTTCTGGCTGAGGAAACTTAAGAGCCTTGAGACCAGGTCCCTTCTTGTGAGCAGCGTGTATTTAGGGAGGAGGGTGCCGAGCCATTCCTCTCCCCTCTTAGAGTTTAGGGTCAGGGTGACTAGCCTTGCTGGGTGTCCCACCTTTGTAGCTTCCTGGTCATCTTCTGGGTGAAGGACTGAGACCTCATCATGGCCTCCTGTCCTTTTCTTACCTTGCCCATGGGCTAGGGGCCAGCAGGGGGCTAGAGAGCTGTGGGAGAGAATCTGCTGCATGAGTTTGCTTCCTGGGAACTAACAACCTTGGGCTTTCTTCCCTGACAGGGCCGGAATCTGCTTCCACCAGCTACTGGTAACTCCCGGCTCAACTATACGGTGCTGATTGGCGAAACTCCCTGTGCCCTGACTGTCTCTGAGACCCAGCTGCTGTGCGAGTCCCCAAACCTCACTGGGCAGCACAAAGTCACGGTAATACCGCTCCCTCCGCTTTGTGCCGGCCAGTCCTCCTCTGTGTACTCAGGCTCTACAGGCCAGGCCCTTTTCTAGGGGCATCTGCAACCCCCTACAGATCCAGGCTAGGGGAAACAACCCAGTGTTAGGGATCTAGAGCATATCCAGTTTCCAGCTGTATGATGAGGCACCAGTAACTATGCTCCTCCCTGCATCCCATCTGTTATTGTCCTCCCCCTTGGGCCTGCTGTCTATAGGAGAACCCCAGATGAGTCCCTCGGGCAGTTGTGCCAGCCCAGCTGGCTGTCCTTCGGTGCGGCCCTGCCATACCCCTTGGCTCAGACCTCACCCTGCTTGGGGCTTTTCCCTACCCTCTCACCCCCACACCTGCATGTGCCTGGGGCCTTGCATGTGGTTCCCATCCTGGCAGGCCCTCAGCTAGCCCAGAGCACTGCCATAGCTGTGGCTCTCTTCAACAGCACAGCAGCAAGCAGCTTAGTTCCTTTTCTGCTGTTCCCCTCCATCTCTGACCCAGCCTGTGCTGTTGAGGGGATGGAGGACCCACTGCGTTGACTGCTGCTCCTCTGGAATCTGGGGCACTGGGTTATGTGTCTGCCATATCCCAAAGTATGGAGTGACAGAAGCAGATGACTGTTGCAGGGACCGTGCAGGCCTCCTAGCAGGGGGGTTAGATGACCTCCAAAAGTTCCTTCCAGCCCTACTTTTCTGTGATTGTGTGTCCTGCAGCAGCTTACACCATCCTGGGAAGTTAATGCAGCCTGGCTGGAGACCTCAGGCCTCAACCCCTTCTGTCTCCCAGTGCACAACCTGCTATAGCCCTTGCCTGGTGCCCTGAGTGTGCCCTGGTCCTTGTTGGGTGAGGACTGGTCTGCATGGTGTTTGGTCCACATGACTTTGTGGAGAGACCCGGGGAAGCTTGCCTCATAATATGCCATTTCCCACTGGCCTGTTGAGGTAGACCCAGTGCTCCTTCAGGCCCTTCAAAGGGTGCTGCTACCCAGCTTGGAGATCCCAGTGGCCCTGGATGGACCTGCCAGTGACTCCCTTTCCCTGCTGGCCACAGTCGCTGAGTGCCAAACCACTGGGGTTTCCGAACTCCACTCCTCCCCTCACCACTGGCTTTGCTCTGAGTAAGAATCTGTGTCAGGTTGCAGTGCCGCAGCACTAGTGCCCCAGGTCCTGGCACAGCCTTGTGTGTTTGAATGGGACCTGGAATGGTCTGCCCAGGCTCCACATCCATCAGGGAGCTCACTTTACATCCCATCTGTTATTGTAATATTGGCTGAGTGAGACATCAAACTTGCTGCCTGGTCCTCGCAGGCACTGGAACCACACCCATGTGTATTCTGTGTCTGTTAGAGCTCCCTATGCTGCATCGGACACCAGGCAGTGCTGCCTTGGCCCTGCTGTGTTCCTTCTCCAAATCCTGGGGTCCCTGCAGCCAGGGGGTGCAGTTATCTCATGGGTGCAGCCTGATAATCCTCTTATTGTCCTACTAGCATTGGTACATACCGCTTGTGTGTGGGGTCCTGTGGACTGGGGTGTCCTGCTCCCTCCACCCCAACATGCATTTTCCCCTAAAGAGAGGGAAGGAGATGAGCTTGATAGATGAGCTCCAAGCCCACCCTGCCCCTTCTGAGCTGACAAGACTGCCTGCCCTGAACATGCCCAGGGGTTAATACCTTCGGCTCAACCTCTCCCTGCACCATGAGAGAGTCCCTGCCAGGCTTTCCTGTAGGGCTGCTGTGGGGGTCAGGAGGCCTGCCTGGCCCCCTGCCTCTTTGTAACGTGCCCTGGATTTTTTGGCATGCAGTGAAAGCATCCAGGTGTGGCTCCAGCAGGTGTGAAGTTAAACTACTGTCCAAACTCAAGGCAAAGGCTCTCCCCATTCAACCCAGCTACAAATGGGTCTGTCAGGTTGGGAGGTCAGGCAGAATGCTGGCAATAGCACTCCTTTGTCTGCCTGCAGCTACAGAGACTGGTGGTCCTTGCCCACATTAGCCCAGTGGGCCACCAGGCATGGGTGGGCCTTGGATGCTAGCCTGTACTGTAGTGGGTAGGTGGGAGAGGGGAGTCCAGCCTGTACTGTAGTGGGGAGGTGGGCTGCTCCCCAGCCCTTGGCACTGACGTGAGGCCCTTTTCTTCCCATGTGGCTCAGATCAAGGCTGGAGGGTTTGAATTCTCCCCAGGGACACTGCAGATCTACTCGGACAGCCTCCTGACACTGCCAGCCATCATTGGGATTGGTGGCGGGGGCGGGCTTCTCCTGCTCATCATCATCATTGTCCTCATCGCCTACAAGCGCAAGTCCCGTGATGCTGACCGCACATTGAAGCGCCTCCAGCTGCAGATGGACAATCTAGAGTCCCGCGTGGCCTTGGAGTGCAAGGAGGGTGAGTCTTTTCAGCCTCTCTGCCCAGGTCCTTCTGACGCCAACCCCAGGGCTGCAGGGTGTTTCTGCTCTTGGCTCCTTCCTCTTTGCTGCTTCTGTCCCATCTAGCCCGGGTGGTTTCCTCCCCTCTTGAGTGTTCCCTCTGTAGGACCCCTGTCAAGGAGCAGCAATGCCAGGAATATCCATGCTCCCTCAGCAGAAAGTCACAGGTAAGGCATAGAGGGGATGGGTGCTTAGTTAGCACTCAGGTAGGCAGACTTCTCCCTGCTGAGACTCATCCATCGCCTCTGTCCATTGTAGCTTCATTTGAGCTTTCCTCCATGGCCTCTATGTTTGTAGGCAGAAGGTCCCATGCCCTGCTCTCTCGATGGCCACTTTACATTCTCCAGTCACACTGACCTCGATTCCAGCTCTTGACAGGGAGCCTATCCCTGCATGCGGAGAAGCTGCCACATTGTCCAGTCACTGTGTAGTGTGTCCTGAGGCACCGTCCTGGTCCAACAGCCCATGTGTATTTTCAGCCTGCTCCTTTCTCCTCTCTACCCCTAACCACAGCTGTGCTACCTCCACAGGGAGGAATCTTTTGCTTGCAAAGCACAACGCTCACAGATGATGCACATGAAGTGATCCCACTAGAGTTCTGGTCATGCAGCAACCAGGTCCATCTCATGCTGATGGCTCTGCATGCTTTTGTACTGCAGAGACCAGCCCCCCTTAGCTCCTTCAAGTTGCCTTTCGGACAGGAGATCAGAGCAGGCAGAAATGCTCTGTTGGGGGAGCCAGTCTATTTTTGGTGGGATTTATTTTTTTCAGTTAAGGCATTTTCTTCTAAGTCTAAAGGCGGAATAAAGAGGATAGAGAAGCCTGCCTGGAAAGGGCTGTGGGTCTCTCATTACATGACAGACGGATGCTGTGAAATTGGACAGAATGCCTCGTATGATCCTGCCGATAAAACCTAATTGCCCATTATCGCCGCAAGCCAGTGCCTGGGGCCATCACCCTGCCAACTGCAGCCGGCCCAAAGGCTGGGAACGAAGCAGGCACCTGAACTGAGATAATAAAAAGAGAGAAAACAGCCCAAAAAATCTGCACGGATGGCAATAGTGACAGAGTGGGGAGGGCAGGAGGGAGCTGGTGGAGGGGATCTCGTCTCGTCTTCCACAGCTGGCAGATAAAAGGATCTGCTTTTAATTAAAAGGCGCAATCTCTTCCCTGCCTTTTTCTCTTTTCTAGTCCCACTAGTTACAGATAAGATAGCACGCCTTTCAAGCTGACGGTTTGTTTTTTCTCATCAGGCTGACGAGCCCGCAACCCTCTGCCTCGCTTCCAGCTCCCTTTAAAGTGCTGCTAATTTGATTTTTTTTCTGTGTGGATTTTTCCCCCCTCTTTCCCTTATATAGTGTTAGGATTTCTTCCCCCAACATGCACACACCTCCCAACCCATTCCTTTAGGTATGATTAAAGGTGCAGCACACCATTTCTCTCCCTCTCCAGCGCATGCTTGGGCTACATTTGTGCTCCTCATGAGACACCTGGCTGTGTATGTTCAGCTTCTCTCCATCAAATTATTTAGGTCAGAAGGAAATGAGGACACTCATGCGGCATGTAGTTTAAACCAATGTCTCCCCTAGAACCTCTATCAGCATTCAGAGCCTTGTAATTTACAGGCATCTACAGGGGTGTGTGTGTGTGTGTTTGTGCATTTGTGTGTTTGTGTAAAGGGACTTCTAAATACAGGACTGGCATCTGAACTCCTGGGTTCTGTTCCCAGGACTCACTACATGGTAGCCTGAAGAAGGCACTTCTGTTTGGACCCCAACTGCAAAGGGAAGGTAATAATGACACTGACCCACCTGAACAAGGATTGTGAGACTGACTGGAGTTAATTAATGTTTACAAATTGCCCTCCAATTACAGGCGGTGGGTGGAGAGGTAAAGCTCTACTGCTGTGCTCGGGTGGGACTTTTTATTTCAGAGGTACTGGTGTGGTAGCTTCTGGTCTGTGGTCAGGATGGTGGCCTGGGCTGGGCCCTGTAGTCCCCTAATACAGCTTTACTCTTTCCATCCAGCCTTTGCTGAGCTGCAGACAGACATCCATGAACTGACGAATGACTTGGATGGGGCTGGCATCCCCTTCCTGGACTATCGCACCTATGCCATGAGGGTCCTCTTCCCAGGAATAGAAGACCACCCTGTGCTGAAGGAGATGGAGGTGTGGTAATGTGTGTATGTGTGTCTGTCTGTCTCTCAAATTTTTCACCCCAGAGACACCTGGCTCTGGGGTCTGTGATTCATACTCTGTGTCAGGGGGCAACCTTACTCATTCGCCATTACAGCTTGCTCCTCTATTTGAGTAAGGGTGTCTTGTAGGCTGCAATGTATCTCAGTGGCCTGGGCTTAACAGCTAATGCAAGGGTGGGAGAGTTATTGACCCAGGAGCAACATCAGCCCTACTCTACTTGCCTTAGCAAGAGCTCATTGTCTCTGTGAATCATGGAGGAGCGTTGTTTAAGAGGACTTGTCCATGCAGTTTCCTTGGCCTTTGACACCCTTGGTTCTGGATTTAGGATTTTCAGGTTCTCTACAATGTTATTTTCCTTCTTCTGTGAACAGCTGAGGGCAGTACATGTGCAAGAGCATAAGAGCACATATAATCCCCTCTTGCTTCATAGGGAATCCCTTAATAACACCACATAATAGAGCGGTTTGTTCCATCGGACAGAGGCTTACTTGGGAATGGACCCCCTTTGACTTCTTAACCGAGGGATAGGGACTGTCATGCTGTATGGAGAACAAAAACCCTTGTGCCATGTTGGGCTATGAATTTTTTTAACATGGCTCATAATTAACCTGTGGAACTCATGGCCATAACTATCAGTAAGGCCAAGAGCTTGACGAAGCTAAAAGCAGGATTAGATGTGTATGTGGACAAGGGGAAAATCCAGAGATGTGTTAACTAGGACTGGGGTGTTAGCTGACCACTGTAGGCCTGATTTCAAGAGCTTGTGGTTCCCACTGCTCTCAGTGGCTGTTGTGCTCAATGATGAGGATTAGGAAGCAACTTCTCCCAGGGCCAGGTTATTCCACTGGTTTCTGTCCTGGTGCTGTTGCACCTTGGCCTAAAGTATCTGGAACCATCCATTGATGGAGACACGGGTTCATACTTGATGAGGCATCAGCCTGTTCCTATCTGGCTCTTCTTGTGTTTAGTTACAGAGCACAGATGTGCTGACTCCTGTCATGGAGGCTCTGGGTGCATTTTTCTGTTCTCTAGATGTGTGGAAGTAGGAAATTGGTTCCTGAGGGAAGCCAGGAACCCCCACGGCCTGGCACATTGGAGGCTCTGACGGGATGGATTTCTAGGAGATGCCCTGTAGAGATGCATCCTGTGTTGGCCTTGAGGAAGGGGCTGTTGGGCCTGACGTGGCCTGGCTCATCTCCCTTGTCAGTGATCCTGGTCAGCGATGCTAACCCTCGCGCTGACAGGAGTGCTCTGCTTTGTAGCTGTCTGTGCAGCCACAGGCAGATCATGCATTTCACTGGCAGGTTTCTCCCAGGGGCTGAAAGATGGATGAAGCCTCTTCCTGTGTTTCTGAGGACCACTAATGACTTTCCCACTCATTGCCTCTGACTGCTGTCTCTAGCTTATCCTTTGCTCTTCCTCTAGGGGCAGAGGGTGACCATGTGGCTGTTAGTTGTAATGCTTTGAGTGCAGTGTGCTTGAAGCCACCTTCTTGCCTTCCAGAAAGTGTTGACCTGTCACTCCCATCTCTGTTCCTCTACAGGGAGCTGCATTGCTACCGTCCATCCTAACTTTATCCACAGCCAGGCTGACTGGGCTTCAGCCCCTGTTACTTACCTGCCTTATGTGGAGTAAACTACAGCTCAGCTGTAACTGGGGTCTGCAGCCTACATAGCCTGTCACCTTGTTTACTGTGGCTCTCCATGGTTAGCTCTCATCAGCTTCACTTCCAGACCCAAGCTGAGGAGAGGAGCTTCATTTACTCTCCCTCTTCTCCAAGGCTCCCCAGCAAATTGACTCAGGGTGCCAGTTTGTTTCTCCAGGGCCAGGAGAGACTGGGGGTCCTGCATAATCACTGAGTGTCCTCTGTGTGGCTGCCACACTCAACAGCATTAGTATCAGTATTTGTATTAATATAATTTCCACTGTCATTTTCTGTGACACTTAGCTTATTCAGTTGGGTTCATTTGATGCCTGACTGGCCCCTGTTTCCACCAGACTAGTCCCATGTCATCCACCTTTCTGGTTCCGGGTTTCCCCCCATGCAGAATCACATCCTCTCTCTTCTCCATCTCCCCCACCTCTCCAAGACTCACTGGGTTTGCTTAATTTAGTGCATACAATTGCATGTAATTGCCTTTCTGTTTTCCTTGCTACAAAGGCTGCTCTTGGTTGGAGAGGTGAGGGGTGACCTTAGCTTCACTGTGTTGCTGACCTGGCACAGTAATTAATGTTGACATAAGTTTCAGAATGTCTTCGGGTGAAGCCACTGGCCTGATGCAGGGTACAGAGTTGTTAATTGCAGGGCATCAAGACCTTTACACTCCAAATACACGTGCCCCGTGGAATGCAGCCTGACCACTGCTTTTGAGGACTCTCTCTCCAGGGTAAGGGGGTTAGTGCTCTTTCCCCTGCATCCTTTCATACCCCCAGCTTTGGAGTCACCACTTTTTCCGAAAGATTCCCCATATTCATGGATGTCTCCTCAGACATCCAGGCTCGTGGGAGGCCCAGAGGCATCCCTTTGTATGCTGGCTTGGGGACACTGTGCTCTTATCACATAGCATTAAGATGTCAATCAATAGACATCTTGGAAGGATGATAGGATGATGTCCCACAGGGCAAAGGGAAGTAGACCACAAAATTCTTATCGTAACTCATTTCCATTGTGACAAGGGCCTTGCTAACTACAGCCATAGGTGGGGAGGGGTAGATCCTTCAGCAATAAAACCTGCGCTGTGGGACATTATTATGAGGGCTGTGGACTTATAGCTGCCCTCCATAGTTCTTGCTGGCACTCTGTTCCCAAGCTAACCAGTGCCATTCTGCTGTCCCATTCTGCTAAGCACCCAGGAACAAGCACTCCAGACCCGCATGGAGATGACAGGATGCTCCTGGAAGGAGGGTCTCCTTTGGCAGGGTGGCTAGTGACTAGGGCCTTGCAGAGTCAGGGCACCTGGGTTTGGTTCTGGCTCAATAGCAGGATGTGGCAAGGGTAAAGCACATGAATTCTGACTGGAGGTTCGGAGGCTTTGCTGGGAAGGGCCATCTCAGTGAGGTAGACGGCTACTCCCCCCACAGCAGTCCCTCAGGCACTGTTGTTAAGCTGTCAAACATTGTATTTTTAAGGTAGCTCCCCATTGTTCACTGGACTCTCCCAGGTTAACAAAGTCTTCTGATATCCTGTCATTAGCAGCTCACGCTTCATTCCCCTGACATGAAAAATGCTTCACCAAGCCTTTGTGTTAACCAGAACTTGGCAGACCCTGAGCACTTTGTCCTCTGATGGGAAAAAACCCCCTCTTATCGGCCCTTTTCATAGAATTATGGGGTTGGAAGGGGACCTTAAGGTTCATCTCATCCAACCTCATGCACACCTGATCCTCAGCCGTCCCAGGTGTCTCTTTATCTTGCCTCTTAATAATCTCTAATGAGCGAGATTGCACAACTTCCTTAGGCAGCTTGTTCCAGTGTCCTCCAGTTCTTGCAGCTTAGGAGGTTTGTACTGAGAGGCAGTTTAAATTGCATTTTTATAAGTTGTTTTCCTGCATAGATTCATAGATGTAGGGTTGGCTGTGGGGTCATAGCTTGGCTGTGGAGGAGTTGGATTCAAGTTGAGGTCCTGTATGGCTCTCTGCAGTTGAGGGGGTGTCCCTGATTAGTCATGGCCTTGTTCTGTGCAAGAGGGAACCTGGGCTTGTTTCCAAGAGCCGGTCTCTTCCTCTCTGTCCTTGAGGTTGGGTGTGCCTGGAAGGCACCCCTACTGTGATAGGGTTGACAGGCTTGTATTGTCCTGTGGTATGTAGCACCCAGAGGAGAAGTGGTGGCATGATCAGGAAGAGCAATATGAGGAAACCACATAAGAAGGGGTAGCTTAGCTGAAATTGTCCCGCTGTCTTGGCCTGGCAGCCTGCAGTGAAAGATTCCCATATTTTTAACCATCAGGTAAAGGATAAGGAAGTACACAGTTTTCTTTCCTCAGCTGAGAGGAAATTTGTGTAGCCTTGCCAGCCTCAGCTGGCTGAGGGGTCATGTGCAAGTTTGCTGAGCAACCACCAGCAAGTCTGAAAAGAAGTGGGGAAGTTCCCAGTTCTCTGTCCTTTGCTGTCTGCCATTCACTGAGGGGAAGGAGGAGGACTATGGTCTCCTCAAAAGTCCAAAGTTAATGTTACCACGGGCTAAATGGAAAGTGGGATAATAGCTTTTCTAGCACAACCCCAGCCTAGTAGAAGAGTGGAGTGGGGGAAAAGTGGAGGGACTGAGAGGTGGATCTTGTCTACAAGGACTCATGTGGCTGAATGTTGGCAGAGTGACATCCCTCTGGTGTAGACGATCCATTTAAGTGTGTACCATGGATGCATCACCTAAGGGAAGGACTTTCTGGTTTCCAGTGATAAATGCTGTATTTTCAGTGTTTCGCCTCACCCTGCCTACCATAAGAAGCCACCCAGCTGTAGTCCTCACCTGGGCACTCTCTGGGGCTGGGCCTCTGAAGGATGAGGGCAGGTTTTGAAATCCCATCCCTCAGCAGGGTCCAGCCAGTGCAAACAAAGCAGAGGTTACTCTTCTGGGTCTCTCCCCATTGAGGGCAGGCAGCTCTGGTTGCTCCAGCCCATGGGGCGTAACTCAGCTTTTGACTTGGCTGCGCTTCCAAACAAGGGCTGGGCCTGCAAAGTGGGAGTTGGATCTGGGTGGAGGTTTAGGTTGGGGCTGGGATTCAGCAGTTGCAGATGCCCTAGAGATTTTGCCTCCATATGGCCAAGCATGAGCTCAGCTGTTGCCATGAGATTTTCACCATCTTAAAAAAATCTCAGCTCATGTCTGAATTGGAACCAGAAAACAGGCTTCTTCTGGGTCTGGATCCAAACTGCGGGGGCAGATTCAGATGCAAAGATTTGCATCCACCTCCTGCTCTCTCCTAGGAGTACTCTGAGGTACTTTGGCACATCTCTTTCTTCAGCACTGGGCTG